TTTTATCATAATTTATCGAAATATCTAATATAATTATGAGATTATTTATAAATATGGATGACATATGACTGACAATATTTGTAAAATGAGACATATGACAAAATTTATCCTTGACATGTATTAATCAAAAAAATTCAGGAAAATCACCACTTGGTGGTACATGTGATTGGAATATTGATTGTGAGAATAAAGGATCAATATGTTTACGTGGACGTTGTCGATGTCATCCACATTATGCACAAATTATTGATGATAAAAGAGGTAATCCACGTTGTAAACGATGTAAGTATTTTAATATTTCTTTTATCTTAATTTATGTCTACCTTTTTTTTTTTTTTTCTTAATTTAATCATAATTAGATAATTTGTATGCTAATTAATGTAAAAAAGATGTTACAAAATAATGAACATATACTCTCAAATGTATTCTATTAATATCAATTTTATCACTTTTTTTTTTTGAAAAAAATTTTGAAACGAAAAAAAGGATTGAATAATTACCTGACAATAAGTGCCATTAAATAATAAATACAATTAAATAAATATCTTTTAGTACCTGCAAAAATTGGCCAAATGTGTACCACAAAATGTCGTGAGCCATTATTTTGCCGTAGTGGACAATGTCAATGCGTTCAACGTGGTACAACAACATTGGTCAACGGTCAATGCATATCAAGTATATGTGTATTATGTTACATGAATTTAATGCTTTTACATTACTACAAGTTACTAATTAATGATTTCTATCAATTTTAGCCTAATTAATTGGTAGTTAATTAGCTAGCATGCATTAATTCAATGTATACGATTTAGATGATATTTAAAAGGATGATAAATATTATTTCTATTTTTATCTTAATATTAAACAATTTGATCACATGCAAATGTATGTATGCATGCAATAGCAGTTTGCATGTGATCAAATTGTACGCACGCATGCAATGTATACAACACATATATATTTTACATATAAATATATAATTAAAAATATATATAATTAGTTACTATAAATATAAATATATAATTAGATTTTTTACATTACGAACATTACGCGTTTCATATTTATTCAGTTATTTTCATATATTCCAGTATTTCAATTCAAATGTATCCCTTCATACTTTCAAGTATTATAATAAAGAATGAAATGATTTGCATAAAAAGCAATTAATTCTTAATATATGATAATTTACTTACGTTTTTTTTTCTTTCCAGAAATCATACTCTATTATTATCTAAATTTTATATCTATAATATCTTAGAAAATGAGATTAAAACCTTTTATTTCAATCCCCAGCTAATAGTATTAATTTTAATGTAGGATAAATTTACCTACCGTATTACTTATCTCAATTAATTGATTACTGTATTACTGTATATACATATATTTTTATGATTAAGTGAGTCGTGTTGGTGATCGTTGCACACGACATTACGATTGTTCGGCACCTTTTTCGGCATGCTTAAATTCACAATGTGTATGTATTAGTGGTACCATACAACAAGGTTTGCAATGTATAGCTAAACCAGCTTGTCCACTTGGAGGTTACCTTTTTTTTTTTTTTNTTTTTTGTGGTCAATTAATATTATTTTA